GCTATAGCGATCGCAAAACCTCATTGTCATGCGGATTCGTCATTTTACAAGGTCGTTGTCTAGCGAGGTACCACTGTAGATAGATGGCCACAGTTTTAGGGGACAACTCCATCTCTCAATGTTGTTAAATATCTGAGAACCATGTTCTCTGATGTTGGCCACGTCCTATCTCCATGCTACCTTGTGTAATCCCAGAAAGCTTGGACCACATAAGATTGCCAAATTCATGGTGCTATGGAGTGCAATACTTCCTGCATTATGGCCTGTTCCCGAAGTGCCATGGGTCCTCATGGAAGGGGAGCAGGCACAATGCTGCTTTGGTAGCCAGAGTGTGCAGCACAGGACATGGCACAGCCTATAGTCACTGTCTTGTCAAAACATCACTCCCATATAAACTTAAAGCCCAATAAACAAAAATCATCTGGGTGTACCAGCTGGAGACAAAAGGCTCACTATAGTCATATTTTGCCATTGAAATACCTACCCACATGTCTGGACTACATGTACCACATGCGTATTTAACAAGGTACATTTTTACAGAGACAGCCTCATTTACGGATCCCCCTTTGAATATGATAAATGGTAGATTAAACTATATTCCACAGGTGCATTTGTAGGCACAACCACATCCAAGGCACATGCCCCTAGATTAGCTAAAGGCAGGAAGCCAATTCCTGCATTCATGATCAGGGCTTATTTTAGCCTTGAGAAAATAAGACTGAGGGGAGATATGATAGCACATCTCAAATACTTGAAAGAGAGTCATACAGAGGAGGGGCAGGATCTGTTCTCAGTCATCCCAGAGTACAGGACACATAATAATGGGCTCAAGCTACAGGAAGCCAGATTTAGACTGAATATCGGGAAAATGTCTTTAACTGTTAGAGCAGTATGATAATGGAACTAATTAAGTTGGGAGGTGGTGAGTGCTCCAATGCTGGAGGCATTGAAGAGAAAACTGGAACAATCTATCAGATCTCTCACCATTCATCAAGCTAGCTAGCTAATGCTAGCAAAAGGGTGCAACTACATTGGAAATCTGTGATTTGATTCACAGCTTGTACAGTATTATATATTCAAATCACAGTAAGGGTTCATATGGGCTGCCTATAGATTCAGGAATTCACAATTTTTCCAATGTGAGTCACATTCCAGCTCATAGCCCTCCCTTCTTTCCTCCCTCCCTCTGGTCCCACCTCTGCTGGTCCTTCATTCCTTTGGTCCTGACTCTGTGGTTCTTCCATCCTCTGGTCCAACCTCCTTTAATGGTTTGCAATTAATCTGCTTTCTCATATGAAGCTTCAAACTATATTTCCCAAAAACTTTTCTGTAGAAAAATAACATGGAAAGGTGTTTCACAGCTAAGAGTACAGAACATTAGAAATCTGAACAGTAATTTTGCAAAATACATCACAATTCACACATCAGAATGATTTGATAACAGGAATCACCACCTTCCCCTTCCCATTCGTTACTCTTTCCCCTTACTTTCAAATAACATATGCAGGAATTACCCAGTCTTTTTGCAGATGTTAGTCTTTGCTAATGTATGGTTTTGGCTTAGCTACCAGGCCTTCTGGTGATGAATTAATTCACAATAGAAAGTCATTCTTAAACTTTGTTTGATAATGGAGGAGACAGGATGGTAAGCTCATAAGTGAAAAAAAAAAGACATTATTATCAAGTGAAGCAAAGAACTTGTGGATGTGGCTCTCCATAGTAGATCCAGTCCTCTTTGAATTATTTATTAGCAGGCTGATCATATTTCTATCTCTCTCCCCTGTTTTTGCTTTCTGGAAGAAACTTGAAATAAAAGGTTATATAGGTAGCTTGTGTGGTCTTACCGGGGCATTTCCTCACTGTGAATTTTTGGGCACGACCCTGTCCCTTGCTTTTGCACAACAATCTGCCCCTGTGTAACTGGCAATACAAAACGTGCTCACATTCCAGTCCTCATAAAAAAGTACTATCTTTCTTCTAAATAACAACCATTAGAGTATCTCATATGTCATATAATCCTTGCACAACAGTATGAGATTGCTTAGGCTAGAATAGCAGTTTAGTTGCTACTTTTAATTTCCCTGTACCTCTGACCTCTGAAGTGTTGCATTAGCCATAAAAACTACGTACACTAAAGTGATTTTCTGTGCATTTCAGTATAAGGAAACAGAAATGGTACAGTGGTGTACTTGTAACTTTTACAATGGAGGCATTCATCATGTGCATTCCCATAGCCACATCCTCAATGAAAGTTCAGCAATGGAAACAGCTCTGTTGATTCATATAAAAAAAAAACAGTCCTAGCAATTTTCATCTCCAACAGGAGGTGGATTTTGTTTGTTTGTTTGTTTTCATTTTGTAACATCATTCAACACCAGATCAATTTGAAATACAACATTATAACAGGGATCGTTCACAACAGAGTTACGGGTGGTGGTAGTGGAATTAAATGGGCTCCCAAGCTGTTTGAGAATTGCAACTAAGTTTAGAATGAAAAAGAAAAGCCAAAGATGGTGACAAATTATTTTGTCCAATAAAAATGTTTCAGCGTAATTTATCTTGTGAGCTTTGATGTTATGCAACACTGTGGGGGGAAAGTACAACTAGACGGGCATTTATCCACAGTTTCATCCAGGTTGGGGACAGGCTGGTTCATTCATTTTCCCTACTGACCACATGGCACAAATACCATTGTGAAACCACCCACCCTTGCTCGGTGCCAACCCGCACCTTTTTAGGTCCCTGTCAGGAATTCCTGTTTTTGTTTTGTTTTTGTGCAGGTAGGTTCCAGCATTCACGATTACTGGGGTCCGAGTTTAGTCACATCCAAAGTCACTTAGAATCATACATTCATAGTTGGAAGGTGCCTATAAAGCCAATGAGTTATAGAATGTTAAAATAGAGGAGTTGGAAGGGGCCTATGAGGCTATCAAGTCCAACCCCTGCTTGATGCAGGAATACAAATCAAAGGATATCTGCCAGGTAGTTGTCTAAGTTTCTCTTGAATGCCTCCCGTGTTGGAGCACTCGCCACTTCTTGAGGTAATCGGGTCCCACTGTCGTACTGCTCTAACAGTTGGGATGTTTTTCCTGATTCGCAACTGAAATCTGGCTTCCTGTAACTTGAGCCCATTGCTGTATGTCTGCACTCTAGGATGACTGATAACAGAGCCTAACAGATCCTTCCTCTTCTCTGTATGATACTGAGCTTTGTGATACTGCAACTCGTTACCTCCTCCTAGTTTGAGGAGGTAACAAGTTCTTAATAATTAAGAAATTATTTAAAACATGGCTATTCAGAGAGGTCTTCCTGGATTTTAAAACACCCTGATTCTATGTGTCCTCAATAACTAACATTCTACCTACCACCATGCTTTTATTTTCTTTTACCTTATTATGCTTTTATTATGTGGTTTCTTAGTGCAGTTTGTTTAGTTCCTTTTATATTTTGTTTGTCATTGTTGATTACAGTTGTTATGTTACTGTTTTATCCTGTTTTGTAAACTGCCCAGAGTGGCCTTGGCAACTAGATGGACACTATAAAAATCAAATTCATAAATAAATTGAGAAAGATAAGTACTTTTTGAGTATAATTCTGTAACCAACTACACCTGACACTGTAGGCATCCTTAAGTCTCAAGAAACTATGGTAATGCATTTATTTATCTTGGTAATAAAATATAATGGGGCACTTCATCAAAAGCTTTCCTGAAATCAAGATAAAATACCTCTACAGAATTTGAAGAATCTACCAGGGAGGTTATTACTACCACCACCACTGCTACTACTGCTATTACTACTACTTCCTCGTCCTCCTCTTCTTCTTCAAAAACTCCCACCAATCTTGGACTGCTTTTCCTGTTAGGATCCTGTGGCATGGGGCCTTAGTCGCTGTTCTGAGTTTATTAAAATCAGCTTTCCTAAAATCCAGCGAATATGTGTGGCTATACTTTGCTGCTGCTTATTTGAAATCAAGAACTCAAGTATGACAGTCACTTTCTTTCACACAGAACTACATTCATTTCCTGAGTATGTTTGTTTCACCTATCTGAAATTGTTTGGGACCAGCAAGGACATCTGTCACCTTCTACACCAACTTACCTTCAAGGGATGGGCATCATCACAGCCTCTATTGTGTGCTTGACCAGCTTGAGGCAAGGAGGTGGATATTTGAGACTAGCCTTTTGAGGGACAGCACCCCAGTTATAGGAGTTACCCAAAGATAGTAGATTGGCTCCTTCGTTGTTAGTAAAGACTGGCCTATTCTGCCAGGCTTTTGAGGAGTACTATTTTCCCACTTTTTATTGATAATGCCACTCATAAAGTTCAATCCAGCATTAGTCCTATTCAGAACAGATGCTTTGAAAAGAAAGTAAAGGTGGTCACAGCTAGTCTAAGACCCATCAATTTCAACTGGTGTGCTCTAAGTGTGACTGAAGTTGCATTTCGCCCCTTGAGTAGTTCCCCCATTCCTGTGATGTGCATTAAAGTGCCCTTATTCGGGATGAGTTTTAATGGAGTGTGCAATTTTATAAAATCTCTCAGATTCCTAGAGGTAAATAAGAACAGTTCTTCTGGATCAGCCCCAAATGCCATCTAGTCCCACATCATGCCTCACCCTCCTCCCTTCCCTTCCTTTGCTTCCCCCTCCGCTCACTCTGCAACCAGGGCAATGTTCAGGCTGCCTCAGCGAACCAAACACGCTCCTTCACCTCCCCGGCCTTGGAGGGAGCCGCCGCACCTCTGCCTACATTCACTTTAAAGCAATGCCAGCCGAGAGCCATCACCTGCTTTACGGTAAAGAGTAGCAGGGATTTAACCTTTCAGGCTCCGTCCAGAGGTGTTAAGAACCACGTCTGCCTGGGCCAGTTGCCGCCTTCAGGCGACGCCGAGGGTCTCCCGCACCTGCCTGGGGGGGACGCGCGCGCCAGGGCAGCTGCCGGGGCCCCTCCATGGGCGGCGCGCGCCCTCCCCGCCGCCTTTTCTCTTTCTCGGGCAGCTGCACCAGCGGCAGCTCCCCCAGGAAGTTGACTCTGAGGCACGCGCTCATCGGGCCATGTGATCGCTGCGCACCGATTAGGTGGTTTGTTCTGGTTAGCCCTAGGCTAGGGGAGAGGATGGGAGCCTGGCATTACAAGCATGTGATAAAAACATATTTTCACGCCACTTCTAGGACAGGATTTCCACAGAGAGAGAGAGAGAGAGAGGGATCTGAACAACACCCAGTCAGCACTACTCTTGCAAGGTAACAGCAATTCTCCGTAACGAAATTCGATTAGGGCGTGAGAAGGCATTTGGGTGAGAGGTGCTGGGCTTAGGTTTTCGCTGGCAGGCAAGTATCTCGGTGAACTTTGAAAGGCAGCGGAGGCAGGGGCTGCCCGGTTCTGGCAAAGAACGAAAAGAAGGGGCAAAAGGAAGGAAACCTGGGGGAAGGGGCGATGGAGGGGGAAGGCCGTCGCCCCCCCCCGTTCTCTGGTGGAGGAGGGAGGGCGGCGTCCCATGAGTCGTGAGCAGGAGCAAGGGACTGAGATGAACAAACAGATGTGTTCATGTTTGAAGTTTCAGAGAGCGACGCGGCGGCTCTGCCTCCCTGCGGGTGCCGTGAGGGCCACAGGGCGCCACCTGAGAGCGACGCACCTGTGCTCCGTGACACGGCATGTGGTCGCCTTCTGAACGAGGCGGTTTGGGTGGCTTGTGGGGCCCGAGATCAACCTGAGTTTTCATAACCTAACTTTTTTTGTTTTGACTGCACGGTGCGAGACCAGCGCATGCACCGGGGGATAAGCACCTCTTAAGTCTTCTTGTCTGATAAAACCTAGTAACAGTCTTCTGTATTCTTAATGCTTTTCTGCAGATTAAAAGTTATCTCCTTCTCCCTTCCGTCTTTTACTGTTGAAGCATTGTCGTTTGAAATATCGTTTTCCCATTAATAAATGCAAACCTTGAGGATACATTGTATAAAATGCAATAGCTACTGCCTTCCCAGTGAAGGTTTGTTGCAATGAAATATTATAAAAGTGAAATTTTTGCAGGTGTAACTAAAGAGTGTGGCACACTCATTTTTGTGTTTGCATCTGTTTTCATTATTAAAATAACATTAGTTTTTGGTTCTGTCCAACTGCATTATTAGAACAACTCCTTTATGAAATGTTATTAAAGGTCAGTTTACCAAATAAACAAAAGTGGAATTAATATTTAGTAACCGAGAAACCGGAGAAATGGAGAAAAATAAGTAAATCACATAAGCTCCAGTCAACCCATGTTTTTCAGATATAGAGATGAAATGCTAAAAGAACTGTTTTGCATGCTCTCTGTATTTCGGAAATGTTTGCCACTAAACATTTGGTCAATTTGTTAGACTAACAGAAGTGCCAAGTATAAGAGGGCTTGCTAAGGTCAAAAGTATCCAAGAAAGCAAATACCTTTCCATTTGTGATGTGCCATGATTGGAATGAAGGCTTGTGTATGAGAAATCAAGGTTCATATCACTATAGAACTAAAAACTTCACTGTGTCAACTGGCTGTCATTTGACCTGGCCTGCCCACTCCTTATTGGAGGGGCAGAATTCTCCTGTGATCTCTGTAGGAGAAATGGAACATTTCAGAAATCTATTATTAGCTTAGTTTGCCCTTTCCTCTTTGCTCATTAAATGCTACATTTCTAAGAATCACATATACTGTAGATTTTAATACAGATAATGTTATGCAACAGTCCTTTTTTTAAAAAAAAAATTGTTTATTTATTGTTTTGTTTTTGCCTGATATGCTAGCACAAAAAAATACAGCTGTCTTTTCTGAAACTATGACTATGGTATTTGAAAGTTTATTATTATTACTATTAGCTTTCTTTCATGTGTAATAAATGACAGATAGCTATGATCCTTTTTAGGTACTCTAATCTGTAGGGGGTTGGAAAGAGATGGCAACTCTCTGCTTTTTTTCCAAGCAGCACTATGATTGTGTGTTCTTCTCTCTCTCTCTCTCTCTCTCTCTCTCTCTCTCTGTCTCTTTCTGCTTCTGCTTCTTCAAATCAGTATGGAGTGCCATAATTATGAATCTGACTAATGTGTATTGACCTTGTAATGGAGTCACAGTTGCCAGCCAATAATAGCCTGGAGGTACCCACAGCTTTTATCTCCTCCCCCTCTCTGTCTATTTCCCTTCTCTCTTATTATGTTATGTGCCATCAAGTCAGAACCAACTTATAGGGACCCTAATAGAGTTTATGGGTTGTCATAAGTCAGAATTGACTGGATGGTACAATATTATTATTATTAGTGCGCTGCCATGGATGAACAGGGATTTCAACCCAGGCCTCTTGAGTCTTAGTTCATCACTCTATCTACTACACCAAGCTGGTTATCCCATCCTTCTCTTTAAGCTGGCTACCTTGTACTAGTGCAGTTTTCTTAAAGCATCCTTCCCCAACATGGCACCTCCCAGATGTTTTCTAACTTAATACCATCTGCCCTGGTCATTAGCCATGCTAGCTATGGCTGATGAGAGTGGGAGCCTGAAGCATCTAGAAAACAGCACATTGGGAACAACTGGACTGGAAGCATTTCAAATCAAGCCATGTCACCTGTGTGTGTATTAAGGCCATGAGAAATGCTTTCCATCCTGCTTGCTGTGCGTTTCGTGCCCCAGAATCTGAGATGCTGCAGTGCCAGCCCCTGTGTTTTAAGCATAGCTATAAAACAGGAGCAGCCTCTTCTGTTAATGCATCTATTTGATTGGAAAAGAGCCCTCCCTCTTTTACCTCATTTATGCCTGATAGCAGTTCTTATCTTCTTTTTACTTTTTTTTTTGGTTTGTGAATTCAGTTTTGCATCATAATAAAGGATCAGTTTGCTTGTTTGTTTGTTTACTGTACCCGTTTCATTCAGCCTTTCAGAGCTATGCATTAACTAATTGGCACATTGGATAACTAGTAGCCATGTCGCGAACACAACTGCTGTTACTTTACTGCCTGTTGCTGTCGTTGTGGAAAAACCAAACCTCTTGAAGGAGAGAGAGAGAGAAACTTGTGCTATGACCATAGATGGGCCCAAAACTCTGAGAAGCTGTTGGAAAATTGCTGGGTCTCTTGGAGTAAGAAAATACATAGCCTCAGCTCAGTTCCCTATTAAAAATAGTATAAAGAAATTTGAGAGGCCTTTTGTGCCCAGTTATGCCCTGAAGTGGGGAACCTGCTGTACTTTATAGGTCCCTCCCCCATTGAATCCAGATTCAATCCCCACTCCCTCACACATACGATGACAACTGTGCATACCTTTACTTTATCCCATCTAAGTCAATAGCTGCCATTTTCCTCAGTGAGGTGCTGCTTTCTGGAGGGGTGGGGACAGGAAGATGCTGGTGAAGAACTATTTGTTTGTCAACAATGTATTTTTTCAGTACTGATCAGATGTGAGGCTTTGCTGGCAAACCAAGTAACTTATACTTAAAGGTTTGTGTTGAATTGAGTGGTTTGGTTCTCACAAACTGAGGGAAAAAAAAACACTGATAAGCCAGATAATTTTTTGAAATACATTTTTAAAACATAGTATAGATATATTAATTACCAGGAAATAAGGCACCAATTTAAAAGAGAGAAGAATCATATGTTAGTCCAACATTTGTTTGGTAGGTACAATTGCATGGGCATTTTAATGGTCTTTGTAATATTCCATTAACTCCGTTCTTGTGTGGATTACAGAAGTGACGTCTACCCAGGCAAGCATGTTGAACAAAAGTATTTTAAAAGAGAGGCAAGGAAAGGAGAGTTAGGGTGGTTTAATGAGAGAATGTGGACCCTCCCTCTCTATATCTATAGAACAACTATTAGAATGACAGATGTTTTGCTAGATGCATATCAAGATAGTGTGGTTGATTTCATTGCCTTCCTAAGTAATCTTTGCTTGGCTTTTTCATTAGAAAAAAACGGTTAGGAAATCAGCTGATGGTCATGCTGAATCTATTTTCCTTTTAATTATACGAGACAGTGTTTTCCCTGTATGTGCTGAATGATCTTCTTGTCAAGCTGTAAAATTCCAGTAATGAATTGTTGGCTTTATATCTGAACCATCTTGTCTAAGAATATTTAGAATGCCCATTGTTACATTGTAAACATAACCCATTTGAACCTGTTTTTAATATTACCTGTTTCCTGTATGACCTGGGCCAATAAAACAACTCTTTTGTTGCCTAATTTATTAACTAGCTATTATATATTCTGGAATTCTACCAACTTTAAAACATGCAAAGTTGAAAACTATTGCATATTGAAGAATTAATCCTTTAATGAAATGTTGCTTACAGAAGTAAATGGAAGGTCCTCTGTGCTTGTTTTTTTTATTTAAGTCAGAATTTATTATTTATTGATTTGATTTGATTTGATTTGATTTGATTTGATTTGATTTGATTTGATTTGTAGCCTGTCCATCTACTGGCAAGTAATTACTATGGGCAGCTGTTTAAAAATAACAGAAATGTACAAACAGAATTAAAACAATAAACATACAAAACCCACTCTTAAAAACCTCCTGTCTAACAGGCATCACTAAATATCAAGATGGTAAAATTAAGAAAACTGAATTAGACGTTAGACAGTAAGCCAACACCATAGGGCAGACATGACATTACCTCATTAAAAAAAAGCGGGAGGCTAACATTTCCAAAGGCCAGGTTTTTAATTGCTTCCTGAAGCTTAGGATGCAGGAGCCAGATGGAGCTGCACCAGACAGGCATTCCAAAGTAAGATGGCCACTACCAAGAAGGCTTGGCTTCTTGTTGTCAACTTCAGGGATAGGTGCTATGCCAGGTAACAAGGATCTAAACGATATTTATAGGTTAACATGGGCCCCTTGAATTAGGCCCAGAAGCCTATTGGCAGTCAGTGCAAGCAGGCCAGGCCAAATGAGATGTGTTCAAATTTGGACATATCAGTGACCAACCTGGCCACCACATTCTTCACTTGCTGCAGCTTCTGAACTGTCTTCAAGGTCAGCCCCACACAGAGAGTGTTGCAATACTCAATCCTCAAGATTACCATTGCACGAACCTGTGATAATAGGGACCTTCTGTCAAAAAAAAAAAAAAAAAGACAAAAGTCTGCCTGAGATGGAAAAAAGCAGATTTGGCCATGGCCAACATCTGATTCTCCTTTGAGTGGGCTGGGTCCAAAAGCACACCATGATTGTGAACCTAATCCTTTAAAGGGAGAGAGACCCCACTGAGATCAAGTAACAAGCCCCCTAATTGATC